AACGCCCTATTTCAGAATTTTATAGAAAAACACTCTATCTCAGAATTTGGTTGAAGTACGCCCTATNCATTGAACTGTATATCAAGCTTTACGAAAAGAGAAAAAAAGAATGCTGCAACTAGCGTTGCCAGGTCTTCGGCATAAGAAAACGTCCCTCTTGGTCTGAAAAAAACGTCATTTCCTACCCAAAAACGTCTTTTTGAAATGTATGCACAGAATTGTTCTTATTAAACTTTAATTGTATACAAAGGTACATAAGTATATATGTATGTAAGGTATGTATATTAAAATGTTATTTCGATAGAGCACATTTAAAATTCATTGTAAACTAGTTTGAGATCGTTAATATAAAAATCATTTTATACATACACTTGTGGTCAGCTGATTAAGTCATAGATATTTTGATCGATTGTGGCAGTTTTCCTTTTGTTTATTTAATGTTTATTATTTTCCCATAAAAACTTAGCTCATTATAGAGGAAACAAAACATAAATCCACATTTCAAACTTTGCGCAAAAATTATAAAAAATCTGCAAAGTTTCAGCTAGGTTTTCAACTTTTTATGCAGATTTTTAAGAATTTTTTTGAGTATGCAGTTTGATAGCCAATTATTTTCCAGGGTAATAATGTGCAAGTTTTAAGTTGCTAAAGAATCGCGTTGATTTTTGATATTTTTTTCTCATGTAGACATTTGGTTAGGTGGTCGGTTGTCGAAAATGCTAAATTACGTTCTGCTAAGAAGGAACATAGCAATATTTCAGCCTTTTTCGCGTTCATTACATTTCGACTGCTGAGTGGAAGATCGACCTGTCTCGGCAACCAGATCGAAAACGCCCTATCTCAAAAAAATTTCGAGAACGCCCTATTTCAGAATTTTATAGAAAAACACTCTATCTCAGAATTTGGTTGAAGTACGCCCTATTTCACAATTCGATTAATAAATGCCGTACTTTACTTGAAAATGTGCTGATGTAGGGCATTTTTGAATCGACAGCTGAGGTAGGGCGTTTTTGAAACGAATTCTGAAATAGGGTGTTTGCAATCATATTCTCAAATAAGACGTTTTTGAAAAGTTTTTTGAGATAGGGCGTTTTCGAACTGGTTGCCGAGATAGGTCGATCTTGCACTCAGCAGTCGAATTTCAATGAAGTCTTAAAAAATCCGCCTATTTTTTTTTTTTGACTTTTTATGCTGCTACAGCTTTTTTGGTGCTTGCTTTTGCGAGCGTGCGTGTTGCAATAGATCATCTCTTCCTGATTTGGCTTTTAATGTGCAATTGCAAACATTGCAATAAGCCTCGTAACCTCAGCCTTTGAACGCGGGATCCTTGTCCAAGAATCCAAAAAAATACGCAAGTGTTCCCTCCATAATTTAAGTACATTCCGAACATCGCACACAGGTCGCCGTTGTTGTTCTTTCAGGAGTACGCCCTGGTCTTGGAACGTTCCGTAAGTCGCCTAACTCTCTGGTAAAATTTTCGGCCATTCTTCCTGTCGGCCAGCATTTAAGCTCTTCGCACTCACGCATTTCGGCCTCTCTCTTTTTATTGCGGCAAATACGTCTCGCTTCTCTCTTCAGATCCCTATAGCGGTCCCACATAGCACGCGCTGCGCCCGATCGCAGCTCGCTGAAATCCGACTATTTCTTCGGTGGCGGTACTTAATGAAATGTGGGAAATGTGGTTTCACTGCTCGCATATGTCGGTTTGTTGAGGACTGCTCTCTGAGAGCAGGGGTGAGAGTTGAGTAGCGAATGCATTGGATATCTATTGTGATTGCTGCTTTTCGACGTTAAGCTTTCCTTGCTTATTGGGGCGCACATTTTTTGCTGCACAGAGGCAGTTGCGTATCTTGGCTGCAACAAGATAGTGGTCCGAGTCGATTTTTGGGCCTGGGAGTGTACGTACGTCCAAAAAACTGGAAGCATGCCTTCCGTCTATCACAACATGGTTGATTTGGTTTCTCGTTTTTCGATCCGGAGACAGCCACGTAGCTTGATGAATCTTCTTATGCTTGAACCTGGTACTGCATACTACTATGTTTCGGGCCCGGCGAAATCGATCAGCCTCAGTCCGATGTCGGATGTTTCGTCGTGGAGGCTGAATTTTCCGACGGTGGTTCCAAAGATCCCTTCCTTGCCCACCCTGGCATTGAAGTCGCAAAGCACGATTTTGATATAGTGGCGGGGGCAGCGCTCGTACGTGCGCTCCAAGCGCTTATAGAAGAGATCCTTGGATATCTCATCCTTCTCTTCCGTCGGGGCATGGGCGCAGATGAGCAACATGTTGAAGAATCTCGCTTTGACGCGGATTATGGCTAGACGCTCGTCCACCGGGATGAACGACAGTACTCGGCTACAACAACAACAACAGTACTCGGCGACGGAATCTCTCTCCCACCACAAATCCAATACCGAATTTGCGCCCCTTTACATGGCAGCTGCAGCATACGCCGCAAGGCCCCAGGCATTGCTTGCCTTGCCCGTCCAATGCATTTCTTGGATGGCGGTGATGTTAGCTTTTGTTCTTAAGAGGACATCAACCATCCGCGCAGAGGCACCTTCCCCCAAAATGCGCGAACGAGGACGCAGAGTTGGGATTGAGTATAGCCATGCAACTGTAACTGCATACAAAGCACAACGACTATACACCTTTGCACTCCAGACTTTGTACTAGATTTATAATAATTCGACTAAGTATAAAAATAGGTTATCGAAACTTCAAACTTTTTACTTGGAATTTCTAGAAAAAATTCGGGTATGCTTCCTATTAAAATTTAGTATCACTTTGGGCAAATTTGAAATAGGTAAAAAATCTCGTTAATTTTTGAAATTTTTTCGATTACGATGTTAAGCGTTTTCTGCCATACAAAAAAAAAAACGAATATGTTTTGTATGGAAGAAAACGCTTAAGGCCAGTATGCAGCTCTTAAGAAAAGCAAAAACTCCATATAAAATGATGTACAACAAATGGCTAAGTTCTTAAGAAATTTTCTACGCTTTCTACTACTGGTTTCTAAAGTTTTTTGTGAAAAAGAGCACGAGGCAACCCATGTTTGCAACAAAAATATATGCCAGTGCCATTCTATCTTGAGGAATGAGTGAGGCAACAGGTTGTCCAGTATCAGATATCAAAATTTTATTGGACACACACATGAAATAATGGAATTTTTTTCTTTCCCGTTTTCTTGAAGGCTGCTAACTGGCCTTTAACATCGTCAGCGAAAAAAATTCTCAAAAATAAACGAGATCTTTGAGCTATTTGAAACTTGCACAATGTTATACTAAATTTGAATAGGCTATAAAACTGAATACCCGAATTTTTTCTGGAAATTCTAATTACACAGTTTGACTTTTTTTAACTTCGTCGAATTATTACAAATCTTTTACAAAGTCTAAAACTTTGAGTTACATGTTCTTCGTAGTAGCATTCCCTATATTTTTCTATAAAAGTAATTTATAACTAATAAATAAAAACAAAGGTCTAAACTTGTAAAAGAAAATCGTTTCTAATCATCGGGCCACCAGTGCATGGACTTGGGTAATAGGGCTCTGTCACACGGTCAGTAATTATCACAATATTTGGATCGCGATCCATGTTGATGCATTGATGGATCGTGCACGAATGCTACATGTTCAATATTTATCGCGTCAGTATTTGCATAAGTTTTGTGCTGAATGCTTATTATGACGCAAGAAAATATTTTTATTTTGTACGTATAATTTACAGATAATATTTTAAAATTTCCAATGTTAATTAAAATTTGTTTGGCGGTATTGCGATCCGCGATCCAGATTTCAAATTTTTTAGAAATTTTGCGATATGGATCACGATCCATCAATACTGCATGCTACACCGTCAATAAATATCGCGATACTTGGATCACGTCCATAAATACTGACCGTGTGACAGGGCCCATAGAATGGGCCGACAATGATGTTTTTTGTTTCAATAGGACTTGGACAGACCAAAAACTATATTTGGGATATTTAGAATAACCTTTCAAAGCTTCTGAAAAATTCATATTGATACAGAATGAAAATTAGATTTGTATGGAAATTTGAAAGCGTTAAATCAAACTGCAAAAATGTTGCTCAAAACCTGAAGACTATGAAAAGGTTAATTTTTTGCATAACTAGCTTTTCTATGACCTACACGTTTTGACCAAAACTTTGACCTACCGTCCTTCCTTGAGCGCGAAGTCCAGTGGCTCTGTATATATTCCGAAATAATTTTTTTTTTGTTGCTTTTGTTTATGTTTGTCCTTAAATATAAAAAATTATTAAAGTTAACAAGAGTTTTCCTAGAAATATACTAACGTTTTATACTAATTCTTAACTTCTTCGATGCAAAATTTACTGCCGAATGGTGTTTCGAAAGATTTTACTCGAACGTCTGCTCGATATCGAATTTGGTGATGCCAAATTTCGATAGCTTCTACTCGATCACGAATGCGGTGATGCCAAAACAGAAAATTTCGAAGCATATTGCTCGATCACGAGAGCCGTGATTCGGCCTCAGGAATAGGCATGTATCCGAGAGATGCTATTCGCACAAATCTAATCCTCCTCACTCACTTGTTATGGCAGTGCGAATCGAATTAGATCCGTGCGGATGGTATCCATCGAATACTGTAATAGGCATGATTAAAAGCATGATAAAAACATAACAAGGTAAAACCATTGAGAGGCTGTCTGAAGTTTGCCAACAATATAATTTTAAAATCAAAACTCAAACTCACACACACATTCTCATTTTCAATCTCAAACAACAACAATTGTGAACAATATCATTTTTTTATTTTCAATTTTATATGATTTTAAAATGTTGGCAAACGTCAGAAAAAAATCATGGCCGACGAAATGAGAGAATGAATTTACCTTGTAATGTTTTTATCATGATTAAAAGCACGTTCAATTTCATTTTATCATAAAAGGGTTAAAGTACTATTTCCCGCGGTTGGTTACTATAAAATAATCAATGTAGAACTGAAACCCTGGCAGTTGTTAGCTCAAGACTTAACAGCTGATTTTGTTTTATTTTTGGTTTGGTTGTCATAAAAACAATAACTTACTTTTGTTGTTATGGCAGCTTATAAAAGTTTTGCCTTCAATAAAATACTTTTCATAAATATATTTATATGTGTTATATCTTTTCCTGAAACGGCTGAATCTGTAAAAGGAGACGCATTTTCTTTTAAAGAAGTCGAAATGGCAGCAAAAAGGATCTACGGTGTAGATTTTGAAGTCTTTGGAAAAGTACAAGGTAATTATGACGCCAAATATAAGTATGTAGATAATAATGCATTTTTTGTTTTCGAAAGGGGTCTTTTTCAGGAAGGTTAGTCAAATTCATTTATACCCTTTATTAGATTACTATGAAATTTTTAATATGTATTTAATACCAACAGCACACAGAAAAGCAGGCTAAAGTGTTTGGACTTCGTGGATGGTGCATGAATACTTCCCAGGGCACCGTGCGCGGCAAACTGGAAGGAGACCAAGATAAAATCAACGAAATGTGAGCATTTCCTCATTTATTCCAATTAACTAAAACATTTGTCCCCTACTAGGAAATATTGGTTGGAAAACAAAGGTAGTCCCACATCTCGCATTGACAAGGCGGTTTTCTCTGAGATTAAAGAGATTCCTGACTACTCCTACAAAGGGTTCACCATTAAACGTTAAAAGAATGGCAGAGACCGCTGCATGAATTTCAGAATACAAAAATTATTGGCAAGTTTTAAAATCATTAAATTACTGCATTCAAAAACAAAACATTTGACAATCAACATTTTTGGATGCAACCCTGATAGTTGGTAAAGCAGTGTAAATTGAGTAGGAGCATGACTCTGGCACATTTCGGGGTGTAATCATTGCANTAATTTCAGTATACAAAAATTATTGGCAAGTTTTAAAATCATTAAATTACTGCATTCAAAAACAAATACATTTGACAATCAACATTTTTGGATGCAACCCTGATAGTTGGTAAAGCAGTGTAAATTGAGTAGGAGCATGACTCTGGCACATTTCGGGGTGTAATCATTGCACGCAGTGAATTTAAATTAGAAAATTGTGAAAATTTTAATTAGTAAATGTAAAATTCAGAAAAAGACATAATCTGAAGCATTTACGAAGGAAGTGCATAGAAATAGGCAAGTACATATTTTACTGAAGGCACAAAGCAGTGCAAAGTGCGTGTTATTTCACCGACGATGCGAGTGATGCCATACCTCGAGTTGAAAATGTCATGAATTTGTTGCAATGCTTCGCTACTAGATTTCCAATCATAGATTTTGAATTAAAAAACAAATATATTTAAATATTGGTTTTTGAGAAATTAATGGAAATATAACCAGGTGCTGTTTTATTGTAAAATTTAGTACTGCCTTTTAAAAACGCCTTATTTGTGGCATCTCCAAANGTTTCCAATCATAGATTTTGAATTAAAAAACAAATATATTTAAATATTGGTTTTTGAGAAATTAATGGAAATATAACCAGGTGCTGTTTTATTATAAAATTTAGTACTGCCTTTTAAAAACGCCTTATTTGTGGCATCTCCAAACTTCCCAATACGACTCAATGCAGTAGAACGGGAAAGTGAATGCAGTCATGTTTTAAGTGGGAACAGGAAGGCAGATATTTGTTCGTTACTTCGGCAACGAGTACGCGCATTGTGTGCGATAGCAAAGAAGTAAATGGAAAAACGAGTACAGCTACCATTAATACAGTGTGACTGAGATACACGTCGGTTTAGTAGTGGCTGTGTTCGTTCGAATTCGGATGTGCAGAGCAAAGAAAAAAGTGTATTTCACAGTGAATAAAAATTTTTTGAAAAAAAAGCGCAGAATAAGAAAATTCACTATCGTGGCCGCCATTGTTTTGTTGCGCACAGTATGAAAACGGTTGTAGTGTTTGGTATTCGCGGAGTGCGGTGTGAAAATTTTTAAGAAATTTAAAATTCGCATTATTCAAAGCAAGCGGAAAAAGATTTTGCTGGGAAAAAAAGTTTTTTTCACTATTTCGGAGTGCTTTTTATGCATGTAGTGGCTCGTGGTGCTAATGTAAATCCACAGTGGCCGCCACACTCGTTCAGCTCGCCTCTAATTAAATCTAGAAGGGAACAAGGCAAAAAAAAATAAATAAAGGCGGCCATAGCTAAAAATTGAATTTGAAATTGCTGTGTGTGCTTAAGGAATACTAAAATGGAAAATTCCATCCGGAGAATTTTTGAGCGTATGGTAGATTTGTAATAGGTGGCTACTAAAGTTTATGTAGCGCATTTTAACATCAACAATAAGTTTTCAAGAAAATAGCAGTGTAATAAAAAAGTACTAAAACGAATTCTGTTCCCCGTTTTGTATTTGAAGAAGAGGAAGAATCGATAGCAAAGCTAAACCTCTTGTATGGCGCGATTATGAATTTGTGATGCAGCAGGGGGAAATGCTTTAAAATTATATAAAATGAGTATCAACTGCCAGAAGTGAAAAGCGAAAAACGTTCACAGGTATGACCGCTAAAGTAATGCGCTTATTACACTGTGAAGTTATTGCGATTATTAAATATGGATATGTATTGAGATAGAAATACTGTTCTAAACTAATTATAAAAATTAGACCACATTAAACCCTTTCGAAAACTACATATTAAGGTGGTGAAATCAAAAAGATGTGAATGTGGAACTACTAGCGACTGTATTTAACGTGCGCGGAACCGACCCAGTCTACTACCTAGAGCACGGACTGCCAAAAAAATTAATACTGGTAAATTTTAACTACAAAAAATTTTAGAAGTTGGTGAATTTTTTAAAAGAAAATATTAAAAAGTTTTTAAGCATATAGGATAAAACGTGGCAACGTCATAAAAGGTGCTGTTACCAGAGCAGCTTGATTTTCGCCATAGTGGTTCTTAATGCCAAAATGACGTATTTGTTGAACATTTGTTGTAATTCTTATTGACATGTGTAAAATTTGTTAGTATAATTTTTTTTGTACTCAGGTAGAACCGCTGAGAGTTACTTTTAAAATTCTTGACGTTTCCAAACATTTTAATTTTTAAATTTACTCACAAACTCACACACACATTTTCATTTTCAATCTCAAGCAACAACAATTTCGAACAATTTCAATTTTTTATTTTCAATTTTATATGATTTTAAAATGCTGGCAAGCTTCAAAAAAAAAAATCATGGCCGACAAAATGAGAGAACGGTTCTACCTTGCTATGTTTTTATCATGCTCCTGCTATCATCTTAAATACATTTATGAATTCGCCTTGGGATATATTTTTTTACATAAAATGACGTCAATAAAATATACAACTAATAACTTATACATAAATCACAGCATCAGTGATCGAATGTAATTCGATTCGAATCGTAATCTCAAAAAGAAAGTTCGAGTCGAACTTTATTCGATCACTTATACCCTGATTCAGGCCTTTATTAATTTAATAAGAGGCTCAAAGAATTACGCACCTCACAAATTTTTTTGACTAAAATTAGATTTGCTAAAGCTGATACATTACTTTTAAATTGGTTATGGTCAGAGTTAACATTAAATTGTATGTATTCACTTTGCTCTTTTAAATCTGTTTCGTTTCTTTCCGGAAAATATTGGTAGCTTTTTAACCTTTGTTGGCATAATGCAGCTAAAAGTTTGGGAGCTCTATCAATAAAGTGGGAGGTCCGCGCACTGTTCCTACCCCCACACAAACCCAACACTGTACTCGTCGGTAAAGAAAGACGGTAACAGCGCTGCTACGGCTAACGAGGCAGCAACGTTGTGAAGTCGAATATAACCAGACAATGTCCAATACCATGCTTTTTTTTACCATTGTGCCATACCAGCGCAAAAAGTAACGTAACTATAGTATACGGGTGAACTGCTTATGATATGGGTACCAATTCAAAGCAATTCCAACGTTGCGTAGTATGTTATTTCTCTCTTTCGCTCACGTGCGTCTGTCACATCTGCATCTGCTGGCCTAAAATTTGCTGCTATAGCCAGCGTTGCCAGAAGTCAAATTTTTCCCGTGTTGCGGGAATTTTGAACAAAAAAGGGATGGCGGGAATAATAGTCGTGAAAACGGGGAAAATCACATACGCCGTCCCCATAAATATTATAATAGCATTATTAGGCTAAAATAGTGTGCGATACATTCATTGGAAAGCTGTATGGAATTTAAATTTTAGTTACTCGAAGAATCTCGTTCGTCAGCATCCACCTCCAATCAAACTCGAGCATATTGCTCAATATATGCAGTAAGCCTTCCTAAGAAATCTTAATTGCAATTCATGCTAAAAACCAAAAGCATGTGCAAAAATATAAGTCAATTCATGATAACTAATAGCCAGCTGAAAATTTCGCAGTTCGTTAACGGTTCGCTAGCACACCAAGCAAAAAATGCAGAGACAAAGCTATGTTCGTTTGCGGCAGAGCACAATATTGCATTTTCTGCATTTGATCACTTATCAGTGCTGTTGAAAACAGTATTCAGTGATTCGAAAATTGTATCACAATTGCGCCCGAATGATGTACAAAAAATGTATAAGTAGATGCAATATATGTTTTAAAGTAATATATGTTAACGATACGACTTGTAAATTGAATTGTTATTGTTATTGACTTTGTTAAAATACGAGATCGTATAAAAAATAAAACGGAGAAAAATTCATTTGACATTTTTTAAACCTGGCTTGTGTAAAAAGGGGCAAAAACCAGAAAATATATAGAATTGCATGCACAAAAGGGGAATAGGCTGGGTGGAACTGGCAACACTGGTTATAGCTCGTTGTAGTGCGCATTTCTCGGTTTATACATTCACAGTTCGCAATAGCATCGGCAGTTGGCATTTTTGTGCTGCAAAAAGAATATCTATTGTGAATGGCCAACTACTTTGTTCGAGTTGGTCGTACATATCGGGTATGTTTAGTGTGATAAGAGTTCGATCGTGATTTTGTTTTAAGACGGGCATAGAAATGAAGGGTGTGTGTACTGGCATTGCTTTAATTGTTTGTGTTTTAAACATTTGGGGTGACGCGAGTGTTTGGTCTCCGGGCCTATTCAACATCCTTTAAATGGTCTCATGTCAAAGATTCAACGTGCCGAAATACTATTGTCAGGCGCAAATGCCCATGTGTTATTTGCATGAAGCTTATGTGCTGCTTGTGCATAATTGCGAAATTACTTTGGGAAGCATGGAAAGTAAAGCAATGACAAGTATGTATGTATGTATGTTCACATTGAAAACGTTTTACAAATAAGATGCACTATATATGTACTATTTACTAGACTTTATTAAAACTTACCCCAATTGCTTTGGTGTAGCAGGATTTTCCCATGCCTAGCCCTTTTAGTTTGTTCAAAGTATGTCTTGGTTTATGAACCACTAGTCATCATTACGTTTACTAAACGTTTTAGGATTGTTGTATACATATCGATGGTCCTCTCTTACTACTGTTGAGGAAATCTAATTTGCCTTTACACGATATGTTGGCATTTCCATATGTAAAAAATACATATCGTGTAAGAACATCTTAAGCTGTCTACTGAGGTATAACCCACAATAGATGGTATTTGTCATATTATTTTTTAGTTAATACTAATATGTAATAAAAACACTTCTAAACGAGACTTATAGCAAAATTAAAAAAAAAAACAGTAGGAAAGGTTGCCAAAACTGATGCAATGAATTTTATGATTACGTGGGAATATGGCAGTAAAAAATTGAGGCGCTGTCGCCTCCGCATATCATACAGGTATATTCACATATATATGTACATTTCGGTAATTTGGAACAATAATGGATAGGGTCCCTTGATTTATATTTTTACTGATTTTAAAGGAATGTTATAATTTATTTTGGGCAAATTAATTGGTGAGAAGGGGGAGGGTTTTAGGTAGGTGGAGTTTAGAAAATTAAATTTAAAGTTCATGCATAAATATTTTGAGAAATATTGAATGGATTTTGGAACGAATTTAGAATACGGACCGTTAATCTAGACCCAAAAGGCGAAAAAGTGGGTGTGGTGCATACATATATTTTCAGGACTATGGAGTAGAGCTCTAGATACCCGGGTATCGAGCAATGCGAGTAGCTCGATGCTCGCTCGAAACTCGTTCATTGCTCAACTGCTCAAATGTTTGTTCAAAATTTTCGAGTTTTTGAACAATTTCATAAACAAAAGAAAATTTGTAAATTGTATTTGTCAGCAGCTGCTTTCTAATTCATGTTAAATAAATTATATTATTAAATATCAATGTAACAATCCTTGCATTATATATCAATAATTGAAAAATTTAAAAAGTTTCTACCAAAAATGTCAATATAATAAAAAAAACATTGTTCAAATTACTCGAAAAAACTCGTATTGCTCGAGCTCATGCTCGAAAATTTTCGAGTAATGAGCATTGAACAAGTGTGCGAGTACTCGCTGCTCACATACCCGGGCTGTTTGAAAATGTGCGAACAAAATCGAGAGCTCTACTATGGAGGGGCGAACGGGCAATTTTCGAAAATTTAAAAAGTATATGGGTAATTTCCAAACAAAGTGTACATGACAAGTATTTTTTATATTTTTTTTTTAAGATTGATATATTTATCTTCTGAAATCGTTTACCGACGTGCAATTTGTGCAGAATACGAAGCTGCTTTCGGGGTCTTCAAAAATTATTATTATTGTTTTTTTTTGCATTTTTGCCAAACATTTTCCAGAATATAACTTTTTAAAAGTAAGTTAAAGGATTAAATAAGTTCAAAAACTGTTAGAAAAAAGTACACCAACCGATAAGCACTGTACTGATTTTTTACATTAAATGCATGCTTTTTAAACATTTGTATATCGCTTTGAATATCATTTATCACATAAGTAAATGTTGAAGTTTTTTCCGCTTTCTTCGTGACATTTTTCATGGTTTTATGCCATGAGGCAGTCTTTTGGTCTAATCATTCTTCGGCAGCAAATTTCCATATAAGCCGCATGAAAAGTTTTGGAGAAATATCTATTTAAATAAAAAATCCTATTTCACCTAAGTGTTCGGCTTTCGGCCGAAATTTTATTTTTTCATTTAAGCATTATTTTGAGTAAAAAGTAATGATATTCTTTATCTCATTGTACATACAGTGCTGGACAAAATTAATGACACAGAGAATTTTCAGCAATGTAGGTATACAAAATTTTTTACTCTATATTACAAAACTTAAAAAATTTCTTAACTTTTCGGAAAACTCAGGAAAATTTAATACATTTGCGTTATATTTTGCAACTTTCTAATCACTGCTTGGATTTTTGGCAATTTTTTTTCTAACTATATTATTTTTTTTATAAAAAAAGAAATGATTGACATAGATACTTTGTATGGAAGAAACTGTGTGAAAAAACTGCTAAAAATTACGCGATGTTTTAGCTACTTGCATTTTTTACTAAAATTAAATAGGCTATAAAACTGCATACTTGGGTTTTTTCTGAAAAGTCTGATTAGAAAATTGCAGAGTAGTATAAAAATTTGTTAAATTTGTTTTTATTTTTATGTGTTTTTTTTGTAGTATCAACCAGAGTTGTGAACAAGTAATTTTTAGGCAAACAAGTAATTTTAAAGCAAAGCACAAAACCGACTTCAATTCTCATATAAAAATTAAAGATTATCGTTAATTTCTTCATAATCCAATGTTTGGATTTAACCCAGATTAGTATGGGGCCACCTGTGAGGTAACATCTTTCCTTTAAAATAATAATTATAAAAAATAAAATAATCGGACGAAT